TTTATTTGGCTAACTGCCTTCAACCGCAAAATGTTTTTGTGCCGTTTTCTCTCGGTTTTTTGTTTTGCCCCTTTAGAAACCCATCTTTTGCTGCCTATCTCGCTCGCACTCGGTCATGCTGTCTCGCTTTACGTAAAATTTTACGAGCCTCAATTGTAGCATATTAGAATTTTCACAGTTTTATGGCCTCCAAATTGCTTAAAATAAATAACAACAAAAAGAACATTTAGGAATAGGTAGAAAAAGAGATAGAGATAAGTTAAGGCTTGATTGAAAGTTTTGTTAGCATATATAGCACCTGAAATAAATCAATTAAATAGATGTGCAAGTAAAAACCACATCTTACTTTATATTTATTCAAAAATTAATATTTCTTAGACTTAAATTGCAATTTATGTCTGGTTTTTCTTCCCTACACCTTTTTGTATAATTAAAGAAAATTCTATCAATCACTTTAATACATGAACAAAATATTAATTACTCTTCATAGGTACTTTGTTCATTTTTAAAGCAAAGAAAAAAAAGTACAGATTGCATGCCAGTAGATATGTATCTTAGTACTGCGAAAACCTTGTCACAATCATTTTGCGTTTGTTTTTTGGAAGACCCTTCTTTCCTACATTAACCATTCTGCATTTAAAGATTGCAGCTACAAACTACCGAATCCGAAAATTGTTTTTGTAACAACTTTTTGGCTGTCGCAGTGGCAGGAAAAAAATAAAAAAAATTGCCATGATACTTTATAATGTTATTCCGTTGCTGCCACTATTGTTGTTTTTGTTATGGCATTATCCGACTTTCGCTTTGTCATGAGTGCTTAATTCTTTTTTCTGTTTATTTTCGCAAGTTCATTTCATTTTTTGCGTCCGATTTCGTTTCGCTTTTGTGTCACTGGGAATGTTTTGCATTCTTAACTTTTTTTTGGGGTATGTTAATTTGGACATTTTAGTCAAAATTTGTACGTGTATATATCACACATAACAAAATATTGGTTTTCAATTTAGATGATTCAATTTTATAAGAAAAGAACATAACGTGTTCAATAATTCCAAATTCTAATTATATAAAAATTATAGTATTTAAATTATTTTTGGCTTTAGCACATTACAGCTTATGCTTAGATTTTAATGTATAACCAGATTTTCACAGTTATATAAATATTAAATAAAGCCTTTTCCATTAATGTTTAATGTGGTACAGAACCATTAAGGATGTTCTCTGTTTTAGATGTATTTATATTTAATATGTAACAATATATTAATACAAAATGTATTTAAATGTATACCCACAAAATAAGGGCACTCAGTACTCGCTGCCTTTTCCCTGCAGCTTCCATGTGTTTTTTATTTGCATTCGCTTAATATTTTTTATCATTTTCAAGGGGAGGCGGTGGGGGGTGAATCCTTGCACCTACATATCTGTAAATAAATGCATGCATTTCGCTGAGCGCCCCCAAAAGTATGTTATGCCTTTGCATTCCGCATTTCCACAATTCAGACCCGAAAAAATTTGCCGCCGCCCATTCGATTTTTATATGCCATTTTCAATAAACAGGCGCCGCTCTATGTTTTTTTTTTTTGTTATTTCTTTTATTTATGAGGTTCCCCTTTCTTTTGTCGTCCTGCAGCAGGCGTTCAAAAACAATCAAATATGGAGATTTCTCGGACCCGAATCGGCATACAGTATCCAGTATCCACACATAATGCACATATGTGTCCACATCGATGTTGTCCTTGTCGCTGCCACATCCGTCTGCCATATCACCCCATATTCCCCCCGATATACTATATGTATAAATTCCCCCTTTTCGGACTGCATATTTCTGTGGAGGGGTATAGGAAAAAAAATGGGTTGGTAGCGAGCACAGATAACTATTTTCGATTGCGCATTTCAGTGCGTTGAGGCGGAAATATTTCAATTGTGGAGCTGACTTGTAATTTTTCATGCACTCTAGTTGTGGCAGGCGGACAAAATTGGGGATGATATCAGCTGTTACACTTTCATAATATTTCCCCGCTTTTCTTTCCTTTCCGTTCTTTTTTTTGGTCCATTTCTAGACCCTTGATGATGGCTGAATAATAGGATAAAGGAAGCTGGCACACAAAGCAAGTCGAACAGATTAGAACTCGTAGGAGGAAAACACAAAACTATCTTTCACTTATTTAATAGTTACATGGGTGAAAATAAAATTGCATAAAATACCTTTATAGCATAAACTTAAAACGTTCACATAATAAAATTGCATATAGGTATTTAGAGAATCGAACTAAAAGACTTTAGAGGTATACCACTTTGAAATCGGATCATATTTGGTAAAGTTATGGAATCTAGAAGTCCAATTGTGGGTCACCTTTGGGCAACTCATCGGAAACTTAGAAATAACCAACATGAAAATGGGTCAAAAAGTCGGTCAACGCTAAAATGAAAATTTTGAATGCAGATTTTTAGAGAATCCAACCACAAGTCTTTAGAGGTATGCCACTTTGAAATCGGATCATATTTGGTAAAGTTATGGAATCTAGAAGTCCAATTGTGGGTCACCTTTGGGCAACTCATCAGAAACTTAGAAATAACCAACATGAAAATGGGTCAAAAAGTCGGTCAACGCTAAAATGAAAATTCTGAATGCAGATTTTTAGAGAATCCAACCACAAGTCTTTAGAGGTATGCCATTTTGAAATCGGATCATATTTGGTAAAGTTATGGAATCAGAAGTCCAATTGTGGGTAAACTCATCGGAAACTTAGAAATAACCAACATGAAAATGGGTCAAAAAGTCGGTCAACGCTAAAATGAAAATTTTGAATGCAGATTTTTAGAGAATCCAACCACAAGTCTTTAGAGGTATGCCACTTCGAAATCGGATCATATTTGGTAAAGTTATGGAATCTAGAAGTCCAATTGTGGGTAAACTCATCGGAAACTTAGAAATAACCAACATGAAAATGGGTCAAAAAGTCGGTCAACGCTAAAATGAAAATTCTGAATGCAGATTTTTAGAGAATCCAACCACAAGTCTTTAGAGGTATGCCATTTTGAAATCGGATCATATTTGGTAAAGTTATGGAATCAGAAGTCCAATTGTGGGTAAACTCATCGGAAACTTAGAAATAACCAACATGAAAATGGGTCAAAAAGTCGGTCAACGCTAAAATGAAAATTTTGAATGCAGATTTTTAGAGAATCCAACCACAAGTCTTTAGAGGTATGCCACTTTGAAATCGGATCATATTTGGTAAAGTTATGGAATCTAGAAGTCCAATTGTGGGTCACCTTTGGGCAACTCATCGGAAACTTAGAAATAACCAACATGAAAATGGGTCAAAAAGTCGGTCAACGCTAAAATGAAAATTTTGAATGCAGATTTTTAGAGAATCCAACCACAAGTCTTTAGAGGTATGCCACTTTGAAATCGGATCATATTTGGTAAAGTTATGGAATCTAGAAGTCCAATTGTGGGTAAACTCATCGGAAACTTAGAAATAACCAACATGGAAATGGGTCAAAAAGTCGCTCATCGCTAAAATGAAAATTTGGAATGCAGATTTTTAGAGAATCCAACCACAAGTCTTTAGAGGTATGCCACTTTGAAATCGGATCATATTTGGTAAATATAAACATAAACCAATCATTTGTAAATAGCTAAGTCAAACCTTAGGACATAATTGTGACTCTCATCAGAGAAATCTAAAATGTCTCGAATTGATATGAATTTTATGGCTTTTAATTATTTTGTATTTTTAAAACCAGAAATACCTATTTTATTTCGTACTTACCCCATTTTTAATAAAAAGTTTTTACTGAGTTTGTTAGTTCCAGAAGTGATATCAATTTCTTAACAACAAATGCGAGGGCTCAACCACCAGTGCATTTACAGCCGCGTTCAAAATAATAGTACTGGGAAAGTTGACTGTTGACACACTCATATTTCACATCTGGCTTTTGTTGTTATTTTGCGGTATTTAATAACTTAAGGGTTGGGGATATTAATGAGCTTATATCTGAAGTACATGGTGCGGTTTACAATACAATATACAAATAAGTGACAGCTCAAATAAGAAATCTGACTAACAAAATTCAATTTTAAATGTGTATAGAAATTCAGCAATCTAATCAATACAATAAAAATCAATGATATTTGAAAAAGGTTGAAAGTCACCTTACAGCTTCTTAATTAACAACTTTAATGTGAGAAAATATTCTTTGTTAGTTACTAGTTACTAATAATTTGACCTTTGCTGTTCATGTGCGGATCGAAATAGCAATGCAGCAAACCGCAAATGTTTGTTACTCCATTACGTTTGTGTGTGGCTTTTTGTATGCCTCTGTGTGTGTGTGTGTGTGTGTGTGTGTGGTGGATTTTGCTTTTCCACATTTTCCCCCTGGAAAATTTATTGCCGGCATTCCGAAAAAGATTTTCACTTGTATTTTAGCATTCGGCATCGATGGCCAACTCCCAGCCCGAGCGAACCAATTATCCCGGGGGGAATGGAGCGGCAGTCGGAGGAACAGGAGTTGACATAGAAGCACCTTCAATTATCGGCTTAGTTGGATCTGTAGTTGCAGCCCTTCGATTCCTGCAGCTGTTCGATTGCATTTCGGGCCAGGCCAGCAAATAGCAAACAGCTAACAGCTACAGCTACAGCTTTGGCCAACAGGAAACAGGAAACAGGAAACGGGCAAGGACCTGGTTTTTGGCTGGCATTCAATTAGGTATCGGTCAGCCCAATTCACTGGCGACTGGAGACTTGGCGATTGCAGATGCCCAGATAGAGGCTGCCATTGTCAACACTTCAATTATCGCAACAACAGGCAAGGGCTATCTTACATTTTGAGTCCATTTTTAGTTCATAACCTGTTCCCCTGACTTTGGAAAAAATAACTACCTCAATTATGCTTTAACTATTTTATTGAGCAAATATTAAGGATTGTGTTCTCACTGATATAATAAAAGGATTAAAAACAAATGTTTGTTGTTTTTGAATTCTTGACTACTCTATTTTTTGTGTATAGATCATCTAGATCATAATAAATATAATATAATATATAACAATCTTACTTTCTTCTTTAAATGTCTTACATTTGTCTACGTTAATTCAAATACAAAAAAAATAATTATAAATTAAGCTCTTTTGCTAAAGAGAACTTGAAACGTCGACTTTGGCAATTAGAATGTTCTGTTTCCTTTCCTGTTGCTTCATTGGCTCCCAGTTTTTTTTCCACCGGCCTTTGTCCTTTTTGGCCAGCCGCAGTCTTGCAGGACATTTGACTGCGGACCCCCGATATTCAGCGATACGTGGCGCACCAAATTAATATGCATCGGTGGGTTATTCATACGCCCTGTGGGACGGGCTAATAGCAAACTCTCTTTGTTTATTTGTGTGTGTGTGTATTGCGTGTATTTGATTTGATGCGTTTAGTACTTAGGACAACAATTACGTTTAGGTTAACTAGCATAAATCTATAATCATCACATTATGGCACAATGTATGTTATGTAGTATATATAAATATATATATAAAGAGAGCGATATACATAGATATCGATTGATATAACAAATTCAATTTTCTGCTTATCACGCTTGAATCGAATCACGTTTGATACGAAACCGAATCACTTGTGATTCGAAACCGAGTCACTTGTGATTCCCTGTGATTTGCTGGCAAATTTAAAGCCTTTTTAGTCCTGCGATTCGGAAGCTCAACGCTTCTCATGGAGCTCAACCAGCATATTTAATATATAATAGCATATATCCTCGGCTATTTACGTTATCAGGCGACTTGTATTGCGACTCCGACGACTCCCAGCTCCGCCATAATTACTACCATAGTGGTCACCATTTATTTGGGTCAGTGTAGTCGTCGTTTGGGGCACATAAAGACTCGTGTTATTCCGGATGTGTCGACGCCTATAGCGATATCCTGTAATTAGTTCGCGCACCGTCTTTCGATATTTATCGGACAGCACACAGTATAAGAAAAAATTGGAGGCTGCATGTAAAGAGGCCAGAAGGTTGCACACATTTCCCGCCACAACCTGAGTTCCCAGTTGGAAGTTCATGTACTGGGATAGTACCAAATAAATAGCCCAAGGCAGTTGACAAACTATGAACATTAGCACCACCGCAATTAATGTAATCGTCACTCGATTTTCCTGCGATACGCTGCCTTTTAGCCCGGAGTTTGATTTACGCTGTAAGAAAATATATATAGTTGTTTTATCATATGGTGGAGTTTTTGTGATGAACTCACTTTTGTTCGCCTTATGCTACTCGCGTTGGTCAGATCCCCACGCAGACTCTTCGAACGATGCACCAGTAGAATGAGAAATGAGTTGAAGGTGGCCAATAAAAGTAGGGGAAACACTACGAAAACCAGCAGTGTAAACAAATTCCACAGATTACTATACAGCTCATCGTTGGCCAGCGCCGAAGTTCCATGATTGTAAATAGTCACCTGAAAAGCACATATTAAATAGTTAAATTAGACTAAGTATGTTAGATTAGATTAAATACACAAACTACCAACAATGCATGGAAATAAAGGTTGAATTTTAGATTCAAAAGAAAGAAATCTGTAATGCAATGGATTACACCCAGGAATCAATAGTATAAATCACTGAACAACAAATATTGGCAAACTTATTATATTTTGAGAAAGGACCTTAAGTCCTCAGTAAACGGGCCCTTTTAAGTATTCAAAGCACAGAAATGAGCGTAAGTTATTGTCTTATTTATCATAGTCAGTCCTGGCACTTTTACTCCCCTCATGTTTCTTAGTGGCTAACCTTTGCCCCATTTTCCCTTGGGAAATCCCGGAATTTTCAGCACATTTCACTCACATTTTGACAGTATTCCGTTACATTAAATGCGAATGCATCCGTGTTGTTGATGTTGTTGTTTCGCTTGCGACGCAACAACTGCAGCAAACTCTCGGTGACCCTTGACCCCTGCTCTCCTTCTTCCACCTCCTGATCCTGATCCTGTTCCTCCAGCGTTTTCCTCAAATTGGGAAGCGTCACAAATCCAGATGACTGCCAGTGCCGGCGATGTCGTGGAATGTTATCTAAATAGGGGGAAAAATGTTCTTAAATTGTAAGAGAATATTTTATATACTTGGGCGGGATATTTTAAGAATATGAAAAATGTGTAAATCTATTTTACCTGAAAATTATATCTAGTTTAAAGCTAATATGTTTTAAAAGCAGGCAATGTATTTACCAATAAAGGCTATAAAAAACGTTATTCTTGACTTCTAGATATGATTGTTTTATGAGTGAATTCAAATAATTTTAATCTACATTTTAATTTATTCAAATTCAAAAATGATATGAATAATGCAGATACTTGGGTGTTTTTTTTCTGTGCTTTGAAAGGTGACCCCGACACTCACCTGGTTCTCCATCGCCGCTGCCACTTCCCCAGTCGACGAGCAGATTGGAGCTACCGGCGGTCGTCGACTCCGTGGTGAAGTCCTGCGAAATGGTCGCCGGCGTGGGCCGCGGGGGCGTGGCCAGTGGGGGCGTGGCCACGGCGAAGGGCGGGGCCGGGGGCGTGGGCGAGATGTTGGCCTCCGTTAGGTTGCACGGCTGGTAGGCGTCATCAATCAGCTTATAACCGACCGTAATTGTGTGCTCGAATGCCGTCGAGAGCGTGGACAGCAGACAAAAGAGAGCCACGGCTGGAGAAGGCAAGACAATTTAAATGTTATTGATAAACAAATCAAAATCTATAATATCGATGATCTAAACTATCATTGATAGGAGATGGCAAAACAATTTAAATGTTATTGATAAACAAATCAAAATCTATTATATCGATGATCTAAACTATCCTTTAATTTTCCAACTCAAAGTCGACTTGTCTATAAAATATACATCCTATTATCTACATTCATATACAAATGTGTCAATATTATTGCCTATCAATACCATTTATTTTATTATTTAAATGTCCGTCCCTATTAATAATCAGGTATTTTTCTCACTCTAACATTCCATTATTGAAATTTATCATTAATCAATAACCAATCATTTTTTAATGACGTCTATTTTTCTCAATTTCTGTCTACCAGAATGAGCAATTTGAGGCTTAGTTTTTATATGTGTACTTAAGTAACCCCTTTTAGGTGTTTCCTATGTTTCTATATTGATTTTATTCGTTTTATATCTCGTTTTATAACTTACCTGCTATCACCTTCTTGGCCAGCGATTCCGTGCAGAATGTTTGTCTCTTGAGCGGATAACGTATCGCTATGAATCGCTCGATGGTGAAGCACACGGCTATGTAAATCGAGATGTAACCTATTCGTAGAGACAAGGAAAACAATTGAGAATGGGCGTGGGTGTACAATACAGACACAATCGAGGTGCACTTCAAGAAATTGTATGGCACATACAAAAATGTAAATTTATTTAATTTAACTAAGTTAAATATTTAAATACATAAATAAGAACGATGTTATTATCCTTATCCTTAATTACATTAATTAACCTTCCTATGTCAATTAAATACATTATAAGGGTTATCATTTCTGAATAGATTCAGGTATTTCAGGAAGACTTTATTTATTTTTTAAAAAATACCCTTTTCCCAGCATTCTAGATTTATAAATACCCGCACCACCCACTTTTGACCCCCTCCCAATTTATTCGCTGTCCGGGCTGTCAATTTATTCAAAACGCAGCGCACTCTAAACGATTGACGTCCGTGCTCCGCTGATGAGTCTCGTATTGGGTGGATGGAAGGTGCGGGGAAAGCGGAAAACTGTAGGGAAAAGGCAGGGGAAAGGGGAGCAGGGTATAGTATATCGTATAACAGCGGGACTCAGCTGACCGCTGGCATTTCGCAGAAAGCGCTGCTAACTATACCTCGTAAATTGGCAGAGCTCAATGAAATTGATGCACAACAGCAGCATCAGCCGCAGGTGCAATTCGAATTAATGGGCCCAGGTCCCAGGAATCCGGAGATCCGGGAGTCGAGGAAAACTGGGGAATTTATGGAATCCACACCATTCCACTCAGTGCTCTCCGAACGTTGCATTCGGACTTTTTACCCCCAGAAGCAATTGTTTTAACAGCACAAATTTAAGCATTTCATTTTGAAGTTCTCTTTATTTTTGATGAATGCCTGTTATTTGTTCATGTATAAATTTAAGGAATTAAAGGTAAGCTATTATTGATTCTTAGCTTGTTGTTATTTAAAATACCTTCGCAAGGATTAAATATGTTTATTAAAATTAAACAAAATCCTGCCTTAAAAATGTAGTGCATGCTTAAAGTAGACTAATTAGAATATATAATATATTGACACTTAATATTTGTTGGAATGGAGTCTAAAGTATTTAAATAAATATGGATTGTCACAAATAAAATGAATGTTTCAAAAACTATGGTTCCCTTAAAAATGTTGAGACTTATTTAATTCAAAAAACCTTTTTACATTTACAAATGTCTTATGGTTTCTTGACCCATATTTCGTAGAAAATTCAGCTAATACTCACCGAAACTGTCGCACAGCCAGACGAAATAGCCAAACAATTGATAGTAAATTTCAAAGTGGTACTTGGGGTAGTCGTAGTGCTGGAGTGATAGGATTAATTGACAGGTCAGGTACGCAATGTCCGTGATGGCCAAAGCCGTTAGATAAATGTTCGTGGTGCACCTCATGCGCTTTCTGAAAATGGCGAGAAGAATCGGAAGGAATTGCAATTTGTGTTTATTCGGGCTTTCACCACCACACCCCTTCACACCCCTCGCATTGCGAAATCAGGCCATTTGGTGGACAATGCAAAACGCTGCCAAGTGCAACACCAATTGAAATAGCAAATTGCCCGAAAGCAAAACGCAAAAGGGGTGGATGGGTGGAGGGGTTGCGGGGGCATCAGCATTGGAAAATTCTAGAGGGGTTGGAGGGGGGGTGTTGCATTTTCCCAGGGGGTCTGGGCATTTTCCGAAATGCGCACAAATGTCGGCACAGTCATAAAGCCAAAAGATGAACAATAAAAACTAACTGTTAACATTTAGTTTTCTCTCTGGCATCGCCCGCAGCTCAAAATGGTTAAATTTCCTTGTGTCCTCACAAAACAAAATAAAGAAACAAAAACATTAAATTAAAAAGCCATTCATGGCATTCAGGTAACTTGAAATTCCACAAGAGTTGGATTGAAAATGGATTTGCCCATTAGCAAAAGTTGCTGTTTACACAGCGTTGACAAGTCAATCATTCGATTTCGGTGTAAACAAAAGAAGAGCAACAAAACTCTCTATCTAGTGATATTTACTAAATGTTGCTAAAAAAAAAAAAAGCAACAAGATGACATTCAACTTTTAGTTTGACAAAGATTTAATTTAAAAGCCAATTCTCATTTCCATATTGTATTTCCATAAGTTTAAATATTTGTATATAATATACATATATATATTTAAGATGGCTAATAGTATAGATTTCATTAAATATAAAAACTAAAATATAAAAAAATGTTATCTAATAACTTTCCATATGTCCCACCTTAAATATAATCTTGCTCTGTTGTAACCTTAATACATAAAATAATTTACTTCTGACTCTTGACTGACTTCTAAATGGAAGTTTATTTGGTTTTTTTGTTATTTTTGGCTGAGTTATTTCCAAAAAATGCCCATATGGTGGCATACTAGTAGTCAGCTTGCCGCACAGAGCACTTGCAACTGTCGCATATTTTCCGGCACACATAAAAAACACACTCACACACTTTGCTTATCTGCATTTTTGCATTTGGCATATAAAATGGCTCTCATTGTTTCTGTTATTGTTGTTGTACTCTTACTATGCTTTTTTTTGTTGTTGTTATTATTGTTGTTGTTGTTGTTGTTGTTGTTGTTGTTACTGTTATTGTTGTTGCTGGCATGGTGTGGAAATGATTTTAAAGTGCAGCGGTGGCTACAATTAAATGCCATGTTTAATGCGCTGCGTACCTGTTCGCTGCTTCATTCGTGTTCCACTTGTTTCACACAGTTTTCACACACAGACAGACAGTTTGGTACACAGAGAGAAAATAAGAATCGTTAGCTGTCCCTAAAAGAATATTATTCAAATTGAATAAATTTAGAATATTAATTGAGCCAAAAATAAACCATTTTATAAGAATAGTTAGTCTACAAGCTTGTTGACTTATAACCTTAAACATTTTTCACAAATTTGTACGTTTTATAAGTTTAATTGCTGTTATAAGAACAACATAAAATGAACATAGTTTTTTAGTCACCTTAAATAAACATTGAAATTCACGTTTATTCAATAGCTTTAATCACCTATAAATTCCATTAAATAAACATTGATGTACCATTAAATAAATATTTACAGAGTTGCAATTACGTTCTTAACTTTTCTCTGCCTGTTGAATGCATAAAATAACAGTGCCTAAAGGCCACGCCCACACCATCGCCCAAAATCGGCTGGGCTATAATCCAGTAACAATAACACCAAAATGGTGGGGGGAAAGGGGAGGGGGGACATGTGTGGGGGATACAAGTGCACTTACCGCGTCAAAACATAAATGCTCACTGAATTTCCCAATAGTCCAATAACAAAAACGCACGGCACCAAAATGCGTTGGACAACATGCCGCACTTCCGCCATATCCGCATCCGAAAACATTTCGCCAACAGTCGCATTTCCCAGCGTCGCTGCCACCTCCATTGTCGCCACTGACAGAGGTCCTGCCACGCCTTCCCCGCCCGCCTCCTCAGCCTCCTCCGCCTCCTTTTAGCCGCCTATCCTGGCCACTTGAGTTTGGCCCGTATCGGTTGCGTTTTCCCCGATTTTCTGATTCTCCACTCGGATCCGATTCCAATTGCACTTTTGTCAGCAGCCAAAACAAACACACACATCCACAAACGCCCACTGCCACGCCCACTGCAGAAATATAGAAGAAAAAAGGACTTGAGTTTGGGATATAAAATATCGGAATATAATAATTTTATAATAATACATCATGCAGCATATAATGAATACGTATACGTATATATTACGTATACGTATATATTACGTATACGTATTAATTTTTATTATATGAAATTTATATTAGATTAAAACACTACAGTCCGTTAAAATAAAGAATAAATAATACTTATATTAATAATGCTTTCGATTTTAAATATTGTTTGTAAAAGATCCCTTCTTTCGTCTTAGATTTAAAAACCACTTTTATCTTGTTTGTTTAAAAAGAAAGACAAGGTTTCAATTGAAGTCATAGGCAATATGTTGGCGATTCTATACTTTCAACAATAATATATTAAGCTTTTAATTATCAAAAAAAAATAATTATCAACCAGAGCCGAAACCCCAAAGGGAAAATATTTAATAAGCAATTGAAAAACCATACGTGGCACCGTTAGATGTATAATTTCTCTCGCTAATCATTCGACATCCTTCCGTTTCTTGCGCTTTCGTTTGTTTCTTCGACAGCGCCGAATGATTTATGGCCAAGCCGGATTGGCATTGATATTGGCCAACAATCGGACAGATACAGATAGCAGAAACTGGGATAAGGAGGGGGAGATGGCCTGCAGCTCTGTCTTCCAGTTGTTTGTTGCAGATTTCTGCAGCGACCACTCGGATATTTGCCTCGAATTACATTGAGCACACACACACACAGAAAACCCGCATAGAAAGTTCACTTATTTATTTGGTTTTCAATTTCGGGGCTTTTTTGCTTATTTCTATTGTTTCACTTCGCAAAACAACCATTCCAGCCATTTTCCGATTTTCCCACGATTTTTCCACCCGATTTTTACCGCCCACATACTCGTACATACAGGGCAGACAAATTGCGCGTAAAATAAAACTGAAATTGCAATTGCAGCGAGGGCAAGTACAAAAAACATAAGCAAAAAAATAGTGAAAATAGACAAAAGCAGAGCAAGGAATTGGAAAGCGTTTTAAAAACAATAAAAGTGGCAAATTCACAGTCAAGTCCCCGCCCCTCGAAATTCGCAAATATTGCCCGTACGTGAGTGAGAACAAAAACCGAAAAACGAAAAACGATATTCGTTGCATTAAGCGAACTTCGGAAAACCAAACAAAAAAGTGTAAAATACAAAAATGCTTTTTTTTCCGCTGGCCACATCAGATGACATTTGAAGGGCTTAAAAAAAAGGTGAAGGATGCGATAAAATGCACCCATTAATTGACCGCTGTAAAAACAGATTTTTATTTAATGTTCTTAAACCTTTAGAAATATATTTTCCACAATCAAGAGTTTACCAAAACCAATCTTTAATATAATATAACTTGATCTTTAAGTGTTAAGCTCTAATAATGCCAGTTCATCTAGTTAAATAATTCAATACGACTTAATTTTTTTTGAATAGCAGCAAAAGATCAACACAAAATTAAAAAAAAAAAAATTGTAAGTACTTTACCATGAACATTTAAAAGTAAACTAATTTGAAATAGGAATCGGATGAGTCTAGTTTTAAGCTGATGAATGCTTTGTGTCACCCTTTGGGGATACATTTTTCAATTGCTTTGAAGATTAATAGATTATTTTGCCACAAGCGTTTAGAGATATACCTTTTTGAAAATCTATTTCGATAGGTCACGTTATCGGCCCAAGAACATATACCCAATTTCTCGCAGTGCAGTCCATCTGTGCCTTTAAATAAAACTCAGGCCACAGGACCCCAGTTATCAATGAATGAATATGGAAATGGCTGAATGAATGCGGGAATGAATGGGCATGAATGAATGAATAGATGACTAGCCGGCTGACTGAATAATTGAATGAATGCGTGAATGAACGGCGCCTGGGAGGAAAATTGCGGAGTATGGCTAAAATGCCGCGGAGTGGAACGAAATAGAATAAAACGGTCTCTTATTTTTTTTCCTTTACTATTGTAAAGGATTTTCTTCCCCAGGCAGTACTTAGTTGTTGTTGTTGTGCCAAACAAAGCCTTTTTGTTGCCGGTTTTGTTGTTTTTGTTGGCGGTTTCTATATACATCTTCTTTATAAGCTACGAAATTATTTTTTTCGGTGCCCAAAATTGTAATGGATACTTGAAGGTTGTTTTAGGCTTTCTATTTTGACTTTTGTTTCTTTTTTCGAATGAGCTTGTATTTTGCTTAAAGGTTTAGGTAAAATAATTTTAAAAAAAATAAGGTTTTATTTTAGACAGCAAACATTAATGTTAATTAAATAATATGGAGTTCATATTTCTCGATTTCTTATAGTATTCCCTACGCGTTCGTATTCAAATGGATACTTAAAGATTTGTAATGTTTTTATCAATTAGCTTTTGGAAATTTGTTTACTAGGTATTCGGAAAATTGCAATGCATCCTTTTCGTCCGTGGACACCTTACTGTATATCTGTATATGTGTCATTCAGGCAGGCACAACAAAAGATGCCTAAATTAGCACACACACACACTGGGGAAATCACACACACACATACACCTGCGCGGTTGACAGTTACGTGCGAAAAAAGCTATGAAGAATTCTTCAGATTTTCCTCGCTCTTCGCTTTTTTTTTGTTGCTGCCAGGCCGCGTTCCACTTTTTTTTGCAGTTCGGCCAGATGCAACAGAAAATTCTTACATTCTTTTTTTCCTCCCCTTGCATAATTAGTGAGTGGCTCAGTGGGTACAACAACAACCGGCGAAAAAAAAATAATAATAATAATAGCAACAAGAGAAGCTTGGGCAAGTCAAGTGGCTGTGTGCCATTTTCTCAGCACCTGCGAAAAATGTGCCTTGCTCCTAATTGGCAGCCAACTACAAAAAGAAAATGGAGAAAATGGCCTTAAAGCCGGTCCAAGAAAAATAGACGTCCTGCGGCTGGGTTTTCCCTGATTAGGATAAGTTGCATTTAACCAACATTTAAAATTAACTTTAAATTGAAATTCAGTCTGAGAGAAAGAGCACAAAAAAAGCATAAATAACTACACGGGGAAAAAATATAAAAACAATGTGTAAATTGTTGTATTTCCTTATTATGGAAAATGTAATTTTATTTATACACATTTTTTTTAATTTCAAAGGTTGAGGTATATACATGGAAATAGTTAATAAACAAGAAAGGAAAGCTAACTTCGGGCGGAGCCGAAGTTGATATACCCTTGCAGAATTCTCTATAATAATATTCTCCAAAATTATTCCTATGATGCATTCTTAATACTCATAAAAAATCCAAACTTCCTAACTTTAAAAACACCAAAGTTATGGCATTTCCAATCGGTCAGTTATATGGCAGCTATAGGATATAGTCGGCCGATCCTTATGAAATTTGGTAGGTCGGATTGATTGGCCAAATATAAAACCAGTAGAAAATCTTAACTTTCTAACTTTACAAACACCAAAGTTATGGCATTTCCGATCAATCAGTTATATGGCAGCTATAGGATATAGTCGGCCGATCCTTATGAAATTTGGTATGTCGGATTGATTGGCCAAATATAATACCCATAGAGAGTCCCAACTTCCTAACTTAACAAACAGCAGAGTTATGGCATTTCCGATCAATCAGTTATATGGCAGCTATAGGATATAGTCGGCCGATCCCGGCCGTTCCGACTTATATACTGCGTGCAAAGGAAAGAAGGGTGTGTGCAAAGTTTCAATTCGATAGCTTTAAAACTGAGAGACTAGTTTGCGTAGAAACAGACAGACGGACAGACGGACAGACAGACGGACAGACAGACGGACAGACAGACGGACAGACGGACAGACGGACAGACGGACAGACGGACAGACGGACATGGCTATATCAACTCAGGAGGTGATACTGATCAAGAATATATATACTTTATAGGGTCGGAGATGCCTCCTTCACTGCGTTGCACACTTTTGACCAAAATTATAATACCCTCTGCAAGGGTATAAAAATATATTTAATCTGTAGACATATGTATGTTAATATTATTTCTTTATAACAGATTTATACAAATACTGTAAAGGTTTGTTAAATGAAATAGGTATTTAAACAATTGGAGTGCCTGCCAGAGACCTTGTGTTTTTTTTTTAAATTACTGATAATTTGGAGTTTTACAATTGTAATTAATTATATGGCTATTTTTAAAGCCCTTCTTGATATTTCATACATCGATTATTGTGAAACATATTAAAAAATATTAAAAATTGCGCAAAATTACATGATCTTCATAGAATCCGAAAATGGTTAATTCAGGACTTTTCTGCCAGTGTCGAACCACATAAATCCTCGAGGGCCAAGTCAACGCTTTTTGGTTTTGTTTATCGCTGGCAGTCTTTCCCACCCGCTAGCCCTTCATCTCCTTAACCCCAGTGCATTTTGTTTACCCAGAACAACAAGATAAAGTCAAATAGTTACAGCGGCATCATGACTTTGGCGCTGGAAAGAGATGGCAGAGTGTCAGACAGAAAGGGAAGGGGGCAGTCAGACAGAAAGAGAGGGGGAGAGTCGTTTCGAGGGAGACGGAGGTGGTCAGTCACTCAGTCAGTCAGTCAGTCAGTCACTCAGTTACTCCATCAGGTTACCCTAGGTCCGAGTTTTTGAGTCAGCAACCAAGGCATCCATTGCAGCCTTTGTGGCAAAACAAACAGGAGCGGAGTTCCGGGGTGAAGGGGTATATAGAGGGTAGGATCTGGGGAGGGGGGGCAACAAAAAAGGTTGGGAGTTCCGACAGCTTCTTCTTTTACTCCAAACTACAACAACTTGTGCGCTAAACTACACTCTACCGACTTTGTAGCAGTGAGTCAAATGATCAAATCGTTACGACTAACAATTACTCTGGGGATGAGTATAAATATATAAAATGAAAACAAGAATAACTTTCAAATTAATACCTAATATATATGTCACTTTTAAGCTAATACATGAGCGTGCTTTTAAGCTTATGCCCTAGCTTAATCTAATCATAATCATAATCATAATTTCTAT